TATATGTAATATCAAAGCAATTGCACTTGCGGTTTTCAAGAAGAAGTCGAAAATATCACTTTTTACTAAAAATGACAAAAATATTCACCAAAATTAGAGAATTGAAGATATCATCATGAAATGAACAAATCTGAGAGAGGTCTACCCAAGGTACATATACACCAAGTATCAAAGCATTCAGGCTTGTAGTTTTCAAGAAGAAGTCGAAAAAGTAAAACATTGACACGGACGACGGACGACGACGACGGACGACGGACAATCACTCATATGATAAGCTCCGCTCGACAAAGTCGACAGCGGAGCTAAAAAGAGAACCCATCTGTTGCCACAACTCTACGTGTCTTTCCAATGGAAGTAGGTCCACCCCAGCCACCCACGCAGCTACACATGTAGTATAATTAACAAATGCAATACCTTTGGATCTGTTCCATTATCCATACTCGCAATAATATAACGACATAATTTCTCGAACATCTAAAAAAAGAAAACAAAATAGCGTTTAAATGCAAAGTGTAAAAAAAAAATTTTTGGTAACTGTACTGTAAATTACTTTATTTTGGAAATTATTTTACCAGTTTTCGCTGAAAGAACGAATCAGTGAGAATGAAATATATCATACATGCATTTAACTCAAAAAAAATCTGAAAATAAACTTGATACAAAACAGCCAACAAGTTTTCAGCAAAACTTAATTCCAACTAAAATAAAGTATTTCACAGTAGTACTAAACACAGAATGACCTTGACTCTCAACTAACATTTTTTGACTACTCGTAATCACAGTCCCACTATCCCCTGTCTGGAAACAGCTATTGTCTAAGGTGTGAATTACCTGCTGTGCTCGGACTGCGCTGGGTATGGCTTTCCGCGCATATCAGAGCATTCTATTGAAACGAACGATTCATTGTTCCCTTCATGTTCTAGTTTTTACAACCGAAAAAAACATATATTTTGATACTTTATATAGATTTAGAAGCTCAACACAATTCTTTAGCCGGCAAGTCTTTCCATAGTGGCATATTGACATTATTATTCGTGAATATCGCATTTGAGGGACTCAGTCAGGGATTGCAACTTGGAACACTTCTAACAACCTTGACCGACTGAGCCCTTCTATTCGTCATGTGTTTTAGAAAGATCAATGTTTTTTAGTTTAGTGGATTGCTTAAACCCAGTTGTAGTTGGTGGATCCGTTCATTGTGCTTGTTTTATTATATTATATACAGTATACGTATCATATTTAGGCAGTACTTTTTGCAATCAAAATAAAGATGGCCTCTTGCCGATTCATTGCCATTTGAATTTTCATGTCATTATTTTTGTTTCCAAGCATATATTTGGGATGTAGTTTACAATTCTGGTGACATCATGTCTCTAAGAATAAGATCCTGCAGTATCAATTCTTTAGCACTGCCAGAAATTGAGTAGGCAGACTTTTTTTTTCTCGCCCCGATAAGAATTTATTTACGAGTGCCATTTTGTTTTTGATTTACTAACTTACTCAACGCGAGTTGGCCCATTTTATAGTATGAAAACTACGTTCAACCATAATATTTTTTTTCAATGTGAATAGATTTGTACATTAACCTTTTGGTGATGTGATTAGTTTTTTTCTCAGATGTTCGTATTTTGACAAATCACGGTAATATGTTCTGTTCTGTTTAAAGTTTGTGATCACAGTGCTAAAGTTAGTGTACGCTCAGTTTCGTGGCTCATTGTCCAAGGTGTGAATGGTTTATTCACCCATAACCCGCCCTGGGACAATAGTCTGCGAAGTGTTTCCAGACCGGGGATAGAGGAACTGTGTCGTAATGAACTGTTAATCTTGTAAACTGACACACTGGGAAAAGAAGTAATTTGTAACTGGTGCTGTTTTTTGCCAAGCCCCAGTTCTCATTTTTCCCTTCACATGTACATTTCTACTTTGTAGCCTGTGTTTTTGCATGCATGTACAATGTACTATGTTTATTCATGTCAGTTTGTAGCCTGTGTTTTGCATGCATGTACAATGTACTATGTTCATTCATGTCAGTTTGTAGCCTGTGTTTTGCATGCATGTACTATGTACTATGTTCATTCATGTCAGTTTGTAGTC